AATAAATAAAAAGTTTAAAAAAATGTAATATAATCAGAACTAAAGTAATATTTTAATATTTAGTATAGATTATTAAAATATAATAAATTCTTGCTTCTTGTAACAGAGCCTGGTATCTGAGGCTCTTCATTTTTGGAAAGATTTGTGATATCTCCACAAAAATTCTAGGAGGAAACTATGGGCATATTTGACATTATAAACTAATGAACAGAAGCAGCCTATGTTGAGGTTGGCAATAATCTTTGAGTTCCTTGAGTTAACCTAGAGAAGCAGGATAGGGCTGGTCTCTAAGATAGAAGATTCAAGTTCTATTCTGGTTCTGCTGTTTGCTTGTTATCTTGGGCAAATCAGTTTCTTTCTCTAAACCATGTCTCCAGTCCAGAAGACTCTCAGTAAATATTTCTTTGGGTGTCACTCACCCAAAGCCACACAGGTAGTAAGTGTTGGAACAGGAGCATTTGGTGGAGCTAGGCTTGGTTGGAAGATAGTTCGAAGATTTAGGAAGGGAGGAAATTCCAACTGGAGAGAGCAGTGAGAAGAAAGAGTGTGGCGTCCAGACCACACAGGAGGCTGGCTTTTCCCAGCCAGTGCAGACAGAATACGGAAAGCATAACAACATCTCGCCTTTACATCATGATTTAGAGTTTTATAACGTAATTACTTATGTATTTTTTATTTGGTCCTCCTGAAGATCTTTGGAGTTTGAAAGAACTGGTATCATCATTCTTCCAATCCATCCTTGAATTATAAGTAAAAAGACTGAGGGACAAGGAATATAAGATACTCTTTCCTTAGCAAGTAGTGGAAAATTCATCTGGGTGACTCATAGTAATTTTATGGAAGATAATGGAAACCAATTTAAACTCAGCATTGAAAGTGACAGAGATTCAGTGTCAAATCCCAGAGAGGTGATTGACAGGTGAGGAGGCAGTGCAGGTTTACATGAGAGGTAGTTACCTGAGGCTGGATAGTCAATCCCCAAACAGTATCCTAGAACTGGGGCCGGGGCCGGGGGGGTGTGGGGGGGAATGGAGGGGGTAACTTTACCTCCCACAGTTCAGGAGGCACAAATGAAGCAAGCAGAACCATTTGAGGAGGAAACTGACTTGGCAATGTCCAAACCTTAAAGGCTGATGATGATTTGGGGAGATTTCACTTTTACCCGAAGGCAAGCCATGCCTCAATCATCTCATACAGATAAAAATCTTCCCTGAAAAGACATCAGGAGAAGTTTTTTCAACCTTATATACTTCAAACAAGGCTTTGTTGGGCCAAGATGGATCAGAGTGAATCTGGAGTCTGCCTGCCCTGCCTGAGCTGCAGCCAAGCTGCGGCCATTGGAATGGCCGATGTTGGATACCAGAGCGCTGTCAGAACAAGAGGGTCCTGTCGGAAGCTCCAGAGCAGGGCAGGCTGGGCCTTATCTCTGGTTCCTTGAGGCACAGCTGGTGCTTTTGTATGTCTGTAAGGGCAGCCTCCGATATCCGAGACCACCGCTCTCCCAGCCAAGGGCTCATCCATCTACTTGGAAGAGATCTTAGACATCTAAGGCAAATGCACAGTTGCTCAGTTCCACAGCTGATCAGAGAATGCCAGCTGGCATAAACATATTTGAAAATATTTATTTTTATTTATTTAAATACATATAAATTTGCACTTGTTGAAAATTATCAATAGGGATCAAATATAAATACACCTACTTATACACAAAAAGTGCACAAGTGAACACACACAGATTTACTGGAAAGAGGGCCCACATTATTTACTAATTGGGCGTGTACTCAATGATCTATGAAGTCATCTTCCTTTTCTATGTTAATCTGGGGGCCAGGGAAGGTGAGATTCTGGGGGGTCATGCCACCCATGAAATCCTTGCCTAACGGTATGGGAATTTGTCTAGCCTGTCTCTAACCAGGAGCTCTCCAAGCAGGTGATATGTCAACCACATTTCTCTTTTTCCTTTGGATTGCTCAGACCTTTGTGTACAGTCTGTTTGCAAAGGTGTTCCCAGATCTCTGAGGCTGCCTTTATAAACATATAGTAATGCCACAAGACTGTCATCACTTAATACAACAGTCTCCTCATCTGCGTCTCCCCAGGGAAGAAATACTCTTCTTAGCAGAAGTAGATTAGTTTTGTTCTTGTTCCACACCAAAGCAAAAGCCATAAACCTGTTCGACATTTAGAATTAAGTAGCCAAACAATAGTGTTCTTCCTTACTGATGACCCAACGGATCCTTTTGAGGTTACTCAAGTAATTACATATTGCCTCGAATTTCCTGAAAAGCAGCACACATGCCATACCTGATCATAGTCCAAAGATTAAAGATTCTTTAACGACATGAGTGTTTTAGTACTAATTCCTTGTTATGGCATGTCAGTGATCTGAAAAGTTTTCAGGCAGAAATTCTGTTACTTCTAATGCTTAAACATTTTACTCAGAAAGTCAATGTGATATTCTTGTGATCATGGTGAAACAATATCATTCAAGTAAGCTAATGAAGAAATGCAATGATGGGAAGGAAGGAAAGAAGAGAGAGAGGAGAGGATGAAAGGAGAGGAGAGAAAAATTACCCTTAGGAAGAATGAACGTGACAAACCGCTATGTGTATCAACATTTACTACCAAAGTTTAGTAAATGTTGCTTTTTGAGAGGAGTTTAAAACATGTGAAAACTGAGAATTGGGAGAAATATGGTTAAGTGTTTGAATAAATATATGGTGAAAAGAATTTTTAGGGCATCTGAGTTGATCTGTCTTAAAATTATAAGCCCTTCAAAACAGCATTATCATAAAGAAATGGAAATTTAAGTCATCATCACCATCTTCAGTAGATCTTTCCTCCCTGCTCCTGTTTCTATGGCGAACAAAATACAACATTTCAGCACAGTTTTGTACCATTACAAGACTAAGAAACAGTTTGTCATGAGACAGAATCAGTTTGTTATTGGCAAGCCTGTGAATGCAGAACAATAGTGAGTCTTCTGCATATGAATGCTCATAACTTGCCAAAACCCAGTTCAAAAATCCAGATTCATAAGGAAGGGAAATGTTATTTATAATAAGTAAGTTGGAACTTTTTAAAAAGTTTTTCACACCCTAATAATAGTATAACAATGAACATGAACAATTTGCAAAAGAAATGTTGTAAACACTGAAAAAAAAATTCAAACTCAGTAATAAGCAAAGAAATGCAAGTTAAATATTTTTAACCAAACAGATTGGCAGTGATTAAAAAGACAATAATTTCCAGTATTATAAAATATGTGAATGAAAAAGGCATTGTCATAATTGCTGGTGGAATGTACACTGGTACCAATTTTCCCAAGGGCAAGTCGGGTAGATGTACCTAGAAAGCCTTTGAATTGTGCAGAGCCTTTGACCCAGCAATGTCACTTCTAGGCAATATAGCCTAAGGAAATAAAAACACATGTACTTAAAGATACATGCACAGGAGGCTTATTCTAGTATGTTTGTATTCGTTGTAAATTGCAGATAACATATATGTCCAACATCAAGATACTGGCTGAGTAATGTATACCCCCATAACAGAAGCTATTCAGCTTCTGGGAACGATGATGCCCATCTATATCTATTGACACAAAAATGAATTATGTTAATGGCACATTGGCACATGAAAAAGAAGGTTACAGAAATATATGATTCCATTTCTGTGAAAAATATATTTTATTTATATATTTATATAGATTTATCTGTATGTACTTTTTACTTTTTATACAAATAGAAATATCTGGCAGCAAAAAATTAATATGACTATAAAGAATATTTAAATATACAGATTTATTATGCTATACATATTATAAATAATATTAAGAATATTATATAGACAGTAAGATGATATAAATTTTTTGGTATTTGTCATTATTTTCTAATTTTTAATAGTAAATTTGAACCATGTGTAAAATAAAGTGTTTTAGAGGCATTTGAATACACTCTTTAATGAGTTCTCCATTAGAAAAGGAACCAATATTTTAGGCAATGTTTCACAAGCACATTTTTGAGATTTGCCTCATTAAATTTTGTATTGTGGACATACGTAGTTAATAGAAAACACACATGGAGAATATTTTAGGGTAAAATTTTGTAGTTTGTTACCATGGAGAAAAATAAATTTCCAAAACTAAATGTGATATCCAATAGTGTGCTCCTGCTTGTTTCTAAAAGACAGGCATTTAAAATTCACAAAGGTATGTACTTGGCAAGTTAAGAATACTTGGGGCTCAAAGAAATAAGATGAAATGAAGGGGGAATAGGCAGATATTAAAATTTATATTCTAGAATACAACACTGCCAGGATATTTATTCACATTCAATTAGATTCAGTAAGTGTTTTTGACCTCTTAGAAGTCACCATGTTGAAGAATGAGGAGAAGGAGATTAGTAAGCCACACTTCCTATCCTTGAAAAGATCAGTCTTTGCCCTCTCATATTTAAACAATTTCATGCTTCATACAAAAAAGAAACTTCACTAGTAGCACCGAGAAATGTTACATAGGCAATGTGACTTTAAGAAGTTCTAATATATATTTTTATTTTATATAATTATTGTGGAATTATTCAATCAAGCCTATCAACATACACATCACCTCACATGCTTTTTTGTGGTGAGAACATTTACAATCTACTCTTTTGGCAAATTTCAATCTCACAGTACATTGTTATTAACTATAGCCACCATGCTGTACAATAGATCTCAGGAATGAAGAATTCTTTCGGTCTAACTGAAGCTTTGTACCCTCTAACAACATCTTCCCGTTCTTCCTCAACCTCCCAGCTCCTGGTAATCACCATTCTTCTCTCTACTTCTGTGAGTTTGACCTTTTTTAGATTTCATATATATGTGAGACCATATGGTATTTGTATTTCTGTTCCTGGTTTCTTTCACTTAACATAATGTCCTCCCGCTATAGCCTCATTGCTGCAAATAACAGAATTTCCTTCTTTTTAAAGGCTGAATAATATTCCATTGGGTGTATATACCACATTTTCTAATATTTTTAGTTATTAGTTTTCTTTCATCTGCACTATACTTGGATGCCGTTATATGCAGAGGATAGAGGTTAAAAACCAATGCTTTCGAGGACGCCGTAGACCCGCGACCTGGAGCAGCTCCAGAGGCGGTGAATAATAGCTCTCCAAGTCTGCAATAAAAAATGGCCTCCAATAAAACTACATTGCAAAAAATGGGAAAGAAACAGAATGGGAAGAGTAAAAAGGTTGAAGAGGCAGAGCCTGAAGAATTTGTGGTGGAAAAAGTACTGGATCGACGTGTAGTAAATGGGAAAGCGGAGTATTTCCTGAAGTGGAAGGGATTTACAGATGCTGACAATACTTGGGAACCTGAAGAAAATTTGGATTGTCCAGAGTTAATTGAAGCATTTCTTAATTCTCAAAAAGCTGGTAAAGGAAAAGATGGTACAAAAAGAAAGTCTTTATCTGACAGTGAATCTGATGATAGCAAATCAAAGAAGAAAAGAGATGCTGCTGACAAACCAAGAGGCTTTGCCAGAGGTCTTGATCCTGAAAGAATAACTGGTGCCACAGACAGCAGTGGAGAATTAATGTTTCTTATGAAATGGAAAGATTCAGATGAGGCAGATTTGGTGCTGGCAAAAGAGGCAAATACGAAGTGTCCTCAAATTGTAATTGCTTTTTATGAAGAGAGACTAACTTGGTATTCTTGTCCAGAAGATGAAGCTCAATAATTGTTTGCATTGCTTTTTATATATATTTATATGTATATATAAAATCTGGGTCTTGGTTTTTGATTTACTAGTGTGAAGAAATAACTACATCTAATAAATCAAGTTTGATACAAAAAAAAAAAACCCAATGCTTTCTCAAAGTAAACATATAAGCTCTCTGTACCTTTTTCTTTAATTGCAAATTGCTCCAAGAAAAGTTGTAGGTATGATAGGTAAGGCTAAGGAGTAGGCTCTCTCAGTGTTGGGTGTCTTATCCTTCATTTACTTTGAACTTCATCACCAAGTTTAAAGTGATTATGACTGCAACATAGTCTGAGACTGTCATCTCATGCTTTGATCTATTTATTTAATTATATTTAAAATAATATATTTATTAAAGATATGTATATATTTATACATGTGGTAAAAAGTAAAATAGAGCCCAAAATACTTAAAGTGAGGGGAAAACACTGCTCTATGTTTCACTCTTTCCCACTCCCACTGCAAATTCTGTAGAAGCAACTATTTTTTTTTTGGCTCCCTGCCCTGGGTATGATTTATCTTTGTGCAGTACATATAGTAGGCATTTAATAAATGAGCAGACAATATGTTCTTACTCGTTCTAACATTCTGTAGTTCAAAAGTTACCTCTATAGAAGCCAACACAGAACTCTCTTTTCTGATTTTCCTTTGTATAGATTTCCATTATTAGAAGCAACTATTTTAAACTATTTTCTTGTAGTTCTGTTCATGTTGCTAGATACTATACCTATATACATATTGCATTCTCTGGTTCCCATTAGGATATTGAGGATTTTCTCTCTTATATCCCCTCCGGTTTCATTCTGATCCTTACAAAATAATCCTATGCTCTCATTTTAGGTAAATAAATTAACAGCATTTGCATTCCTAAGAAGAAATAAATGATTTCTGCAGTGCCAAGTAGTGACCTTGGATTGCATTTCTTTTCTTATTAAAATGTCCCCTAAATTTGCTAATTGTTTTACTTTTTATTAGGAGATTTTCTTATGAAAATGATTATATTTCCCAACAGTGTTTCATCAGAGACATTTTTCTATTAAAAAAAAGAAAAAAAAAAACCCAAAAATCCTGCCCAACCCGGGCCGGTGGCTCTGGAGGCCACGGCGGCCGTGCCGAGGCTTCCTTCGTGTGTGACCCTGAGTGAGAGCCGCTGTTTCCCGGGTCACAGGCCCTTGCCTTCTTGGAGTACTTGGAGTAAGGATCAGCAGACCCTTAAGTACTAAAGGGTGAACAGAAAGTAAGCATATGCAGACGTGCCTGTTTGAAATGTCCTTCTCAGTCCACACTTAGTGATTGGTGGTTTGTTAGAATATAGAAACGGGTAGAGAGCTCTAAAATATGAGAAAAAAATAAGAGACACACTTAGGATATCTAACATTTAACTGATAGGTGTTCTAGGAAACAGACCCAGAGAACTGGGAGCAGGATGTTGTTAAAAAAAGAATATGTAGATACAGAGATAGGTGAATAGATATAATAATAAATAGAGTAGTTAAAGACCGATAAAGCTCCAGGTTGGAAGGGCAAGCTAGAATTAGTCCCTGAAATGTTGAAGACATTTTCTATTTTCTTCTAGCATCCAGTGTTGTGAATGAGAAGTCAGAAGCTATTCAGCTTTCATTTCCTTCCTCTTACTTGCTTCTACTCTCTGGAAGCTTTTTACCTCTGGAATTCTAAAATCTATACTAATGTGCTTTTCTCTCAGTATTTAAAAAAAATTATTTTGCTAGATGCTAATTTTATCCTTTCAGTGTAGCCTTGTGGTTCTTTAATTCCTCTATTAAATTTGTGTTAGTTTTGTTTTGATTTGATTTATGGATTTTTTTTCATTTCTGTAACTCCTGTCAGTCAGATGTTAGGCCTCCTAGAATTGTCTTTTATGTCTTTTTATTTTTAAAAAGTATTTTTCAGCTTTTTGTTGTTTTTTTTCCCTATTTTTCTGAAATATGTCCTTAACTTTATTTTCTAAACTTTTGCTAATTTTTAAAATTTAGGTACTCGAATATTTAATTTCCAACAATTCTGTTTTCCTCTAATTGATTATTTTGTATGACAAAATGATTAATGAAATTTAATCTGTTGGGTGATACAAATGGAGGACATTATTATTGTTATTGCTATTATTATTCTCCTATCTCCTCAGTTCTGTCTTTTTCTTCTGGGAAAATTATTTTTCTTGTTTATCTTATTTGTCTTTCATACTGTTGTTTTATTTTTTAAAAACATGATGATTTTCAACTGTCCTTTGTAAAGCTGACTGTGACTTCTGTGTTTGATTTTCAGTTGGCAGTCCTGCCTGTTGGTGATCAAACCGAGAGCCAGGGGCTCACAGAATACCAGGCACCTTTTCTCTGAAGTTCTTCATTTTCCTAAGAGTGAGATTTCTGACTACTGCATTTGTGCCCGTTCCATCAGAGGCGGGGTGTGGCGCTGTGAGCACGGGTTTGGGATGACTACATGTGGACTTTAAACAGAGTCCCTTGTCTCATTACCACTCCCAGCATCAGCTTCCTGTCTGGGGTTCTGGAGGATGTGTTGCTTCCTTTTCTTCTGAACCTTCTCTGCAGTTACTCTGAGGTGCTGTATCAGTTACTACCCTTCCATCAGCTTTTCATGTGTGTGCATGTGTGTGTGTGTGTGAAATCTATCATCCATGGATAGTCCCTTTCCTATCTTTCGGTCATTCTTGGTTTAACTACATGTCTCTTAAGCATCAGCTATTCACCAAGCACCCGTTTTGTGTTTGTGTGCTGTGGGAGGTACAAGACAACTTCTTATAAGAGGCAAAAACTCTGCCCTGAAGAAACTTAGAATTTTAGTGGCAGATAAAAGACCAATACAAATGATAATGAGTAATGAGCAGTAGGACATAGCACTGAATTACATGCCCCAGTTGTATAGTGCTGTGGGAGTTCAGAGTGAGCTCTGAATGACAGAAACACTTTGAACTTGTAGAAGGAAGATAATCTGTATCATTGATCTTTCTGAGACTTTGCTCAAATGTGGCAAGTTTATACGTTATTAAGGAGGCTGACTGACTAGTGCAAAGGGAAAATGTTAAAGATTAGTAGGAATAGATTATCAAGGGCCTTAAAATTTTTAGACTTTGTGTGGTAGCAATAATGATTTAAAAAATACAGGAAGAATTTCATTGCATGGCAGTTGATTTCTTGTATCTCTGCAGTGTAGATAAAGAAATCAAGGTGTTGGTAATTAAATTTGGCCTTGACTAACAAAGGAATCCAGAAAGACAAACACTGCAGAATATCACTGATACATGGAATCCAAAAAAGTTGATCTCATAGAAGTAGAGAGTAGAATAGTAGTTACCAGAGGCTGGAGTTGTTGGGAATTGGGGGTGTTGGGGAAATGTTGGTCAGAGGACACGAAATTTCAGTTAGATAGGAGAAATAAGTTTAAGAGATCTATTGAACAACATAAGACTATAGTTAACAATATATTGTGTTCTTGGAAAACGCTAACAGAGTGGATGTAAAGTGTTCTTATCACAGAAATGACCATGTGAGGTAATGCATATGTTAATTAGCTAGAGTTAGTCATTCCACAATGTATGATGATTCAAAACAATATGTTGTATGTGGTGAATACATATAATTTTATCTGTCAATTTAAAAAAATTAAGAAAATAACAATGCAAGCTCCCTGAGGCCCTTTTTACTGCATATGATCTAAATCTCAGCTCTGATGATAATTTAAGGATTATATTCCTTTTAGGTGTGAAAACCTCGCACATATGCAGAGATGTTACTAGCTGAGCACTATAGTTGTAAAACAGAACACATGCTTTATACGGAATTATTTTGAGTAATGTCTTTTTCAGTTTTCATTCACCAATTTATTCATTTGTCCTCTAATTCATTTAGTATTTTATAAATTTCTACCATGCAGGTGCTGAATGCTGGAATACAAATATCAATGAGTCACTTTTCTCAAAGAGCTTATTTTGTGGATGTAAATAGATAATTCCTTGGACTGTTAGGGTTATTTCTAGCCCATGCTAATGTTTCTGTTTTGATCTTTTGTTTCAGGCTGCTCGAAATCTGAAAAGCAGAGTTTCCAGTATTCACTGTTTCTTAGTCCTAACCCCCACTACCCATACCACCTTCTCCACTACATCTAAACCTGGAAATCCTATTATATCTGCACAGCCTTAAATATTCAAGTTCTGTTTAAAACTAAAAATTCAGAAAGTTTGAGGTCAAAGGTTTGAGGTCAAAGGCTCATTGGCGATATTCCTTACCTGTTCCTCTTGTTGGGTGAAGTATATTTCAGAAAAGTAAGAGGGAAGGAAGAGAGAGAAGGACATTTTTTTCTACTAAGACCTTGACGTATGCATTTTCTTCTGAGTCTTTCCCATATGCAAGTGTGAACATGAAGACCGAACAGGATATTCTTTTTCCTTGAAGAACATACTGGCCTGGGTATTTTTGTTGGAACTTGGGCTTTTGTAAAAACTGCATTGAATCTGAAGAAGAAAGCAGTGGTGGAAAGTTTCAGCATCATTCTGCTTCCCCCCTCCTTTCCATCCCCAAGAGATAATAATAATAATAAACTCATTGAGAATATGCAGTACATTTCTAGAGAGTTGATCACTATTGTGTTTTAACAGCCATTAAATTTTATAAAAAACACCCAATTTAACCAATGGAGCCTGTAGTTTCATATCTTTTGCCTTCTAATTGCTCCTATTATTGCCATGGCCATTACCATTATTATTATTATCGCAGGCATCTTACTATGTGTTCAAACAAAAGCCTGGCTCCCATTTCTGAAAATGTCATAAAAACTAAGTTTCCTGTAAAATTTTAAGGAAAACATTTTAAAACTAAATCTGCACGGGTTCAGTCTGAACTTCATTAATGCCTTCCTTGAAGCCAAACACAGTCTTGCGAGGCCCATTAGTGGGAGCTGGAGACGCTGGAGGCCCACATAGCCTCTTAGAGTCCAAAAATGCCTTGCTTGGGCTGGCATCATGCCCTAAACTGTGCTGTTTGAGGCCTATACTGGATCCAGGTAAAATTCTTGTTTCTTTCTCTAGATTTCTGTTAGCAAAGAAGAAATGTAAGATAAGATAGCCTATCTGGAGAATTAGCAACCAAATGAAGGGCCTTCTTTATTGGCAGGACAAGCGAGCTTTTCTGCATGTGGCATCTGTTTAGCAGAATGTCCTGATGTTGCTCCGTGGCATCCTCATTTGTGGTTCCTTAATTAAAAATGCTATGGCCATACTATGGCCAAGTATATAATGAGGTTC